CCCCCTTCCAGCGATCTTTCCCTGTCTGTTAGCTCTCCAAGAATATGCCAGTCAGGTCCTGTGCAATCTGCATGCTGCCCTCCTGCCACCCTCCACCCCCTGATCACATCCACTGCTACTCTTCCGTTCTGTACATTCATTCGCAATTTCACATTTCACTTGTCTCTTCTCTTCCCTGCAAAATGTAATTTTTACATCACCCGTATATTCTCCACATGCAAGTCCTTAATTCTCACCCACGCTGACCTTTGGCCTGAACCATAAAACTCACTGTGTGCAGTGGTGTTAGTTCATGGCTCATAGTACAGTACAGTATGTGTGGTAACACCCTCGGGGCTCGCTGCCTACCAGGTTTGCAGTCTGATTTTGGTTCATATTTCTTAAAGGAACCAGAGATTAAGTAAGAGGATGTATGGATGTATGTTTCACAGCAACATTAGAAGACTGTATCATTTTTATATAATTATTTAAGCTGCATTTGTGCACCACTTCAGCCAAATTAGTGACTCTCTGTTTAAAACTACATTTTGAGTATTTCTATTATTACTATACTACACTATAAGTGATGCGACATAGTGGTTACTGCTCCGTTACAACAGTCACTAATTTTATTTTATTTATTTATTTATTTGTATCTCTCTACGAGGGTCTGTGATGGACGGGTGACTGTCCATGCTGGGAATTGCTATAAGATAAGTAGAGTAAAACAGTTGTTAGGTCTATCTGCCTTCCTTCCCTTCTGCCTGTGTCTGCTGGGCTAATCAGTGTCATCACACTCAGCTCTTGTTGATTAGTCTCACTCGTATCACCTGGTGCTCTGGGTATATATACCTGTCTCCTTCACTCAATCCTCGTTGTTTGATGGTTGATGATGTGTTATGTTGTTTGCTGTTGTTGTTCTGTGCCCATTCTTTTAGCTCCAACTTTGTGTTGATGTCTGTAGTCCATGCTGTTGTTCCTCAGTTTATGCTGCAGAAAGTCTGTGTTGTTTGTTCCTCACTGGCCTGAATGTCATTTTAAGTGGATATATTGAAGTTTGGACAAACTTTCTGCCACTTATCTTGCTCTCTTGAGTGCTGCATTTAGATTCCTGCCTGCTTCTAGTAACACATTTAGTTGTTGCTCAATGGCTACCTGCTTCAACCAAATAAAGTCATTGTCAAGGCTGCAGTATTTACGAACAGGTGTAATCATATCTCTTTAACTTTATTCAAAGTCCAGCAGTGATTTTAGTTTAAATTAGGAGATGAGGCTGCTGGTTTGATTCTGCCTTTGTGTAGATGTTCTTTCATTACTCTTTAAGGCCTGGAACCTTAAGATTTATGTTTTCATCCTAATAGTGTTTACAGTCACTCAATGTGACCATATATACAGCATCTGTTGTAGAAGTTAATGCCAGTAACAAGTTTAAGTGTCGGGTACAGTATTGATCCATAACTATGTAACAAACTTCTTTCTTAAATCAATAGCTGGTCTCTACTCCCAAAGAGAACTTATTAAAATTATTCATACTAAATATTGTGGAAAGTTTTTTTTTTTTTTACATTATAATGTAGCTGCAGTGGGTCACTGTGGGTCACAGGAAGAATATGAACTACTTCCCTGGAGTTATTTCTTCACTTAAAGAATAATTTAAAGATGTTGAACAGTTTATGCAGTGATTTAAAGTACATTTGGTTTCATATATTTTTTTATTACATGCCCTGACCTAAATAAGGTTCACAAGTAAGGTACTAAACATTTGTTAGCCAAATTATTTCCCCTTTTTCGGTCTTTCTGTGCATTTATCAGACCAGTGCTTGTCATCACTGACTGAAACCGCTGACGAGTGACTGAAGAGTGGACAGGCCAATTGGCAAATGTCCCCATGTTATTGAGTGCTATTGAGTGGCTGTGTAATCACACTGCATAAAGATTGATGTAACTCCACCGTAAGCCACATCTGCATGGTAACAAATGAGAGGAAACACACTGTAGCGAGACCTCCGTCGAAAAATGGGACTGATTAATGCAGACTCCTCCAGGGGTGAGGATGGAGGGATGGATGGATTGATGCTAAGGAGGAGAACCTGGCAGCTGGCTCCTCACGCTACAGGGAGAGCGACGAGAAAAGAGAACGTCCGGGGGCAGACATGCAGAAATGAATACACATAAACTACATGCACGTGGGGAGGATTTTGACTCTTTAATCTTGCCCTGTGTTGCTTTGATAAGGAAAGAAATCCCCCTCCTTGCAATGAAGATAGAGCTGTTCTCCTTTTGTCTTAAAGTTACCGGTATATTTATGCATGAGCTGTTTATTTGTGTCAGACATACAAATTAATTTCTCCCAGTCCTCCTAAAAAAATTCTTCTTCTGAGTTAAGTGTGACTTTGCAGAGTTTGGAGACATATTTTTACATTGGTTATACTGCACAGGCTGATAACAAATTGCCTGTTTGGCTCCAAGTGCATTTACAATCACAGACATGCTTACTCTCAGTACTTTATTTAAGTTTCTCAGAGAGTATGTGCAGCCAAAAACTGCAGTAGGTCACTTTGTATACAATGTGTTTTTACCTTTAAAAAAAAACTGCTGACAGAAGAGAAGAAGAATTCAAGAGGTTTTTTTTGTTGTTGTTTTTTTTTTTTTTACTGGCTCTCCACTAACATGAATACACTGTATGTGATTTCACTGTTGACACATCACTGTCAAGCAACTGTTCATTTTGGCAGGCTTTAATTAGAAGAATCCTCCCACTCATAACTCTAGAGCACATGTAAACACACACACACACACACACCACATAGTTGTTGTAGTTGTCAGGGTTGCAGAGCTGTTTTGAAGTTGCTTCCAGGCTTTGATGTCTCTGACCTTTTTTGGTCTGGGTTGTCACAAAGCGATGCAGAACCGGACTGTCAAGTTGCCATTGCTTGCTGCCACATTCGGGAGTGACTGCAGGAAGGAAGCCTTTTTTTTTTCTTCATTTACTTCAATTATTTCTGTGGCACACATTTGGAGCAGCCATGCAACGGAGCATTCTTGCATTTTCACAACCTGAGAGATTAATGCAGGAAGAATGCGAAGAGAAAATTAACAGCAGTTAATGTGTGTAGTGTTGGAAGAATTGACCTTTATTTTGAAATGTATCATCCTTAACAGTCTTAGTAAAATAGTACAAATAAATATACTTCTCAAAAGCCATAAACTGCCTATGATAACTTTCCTAACTACCTCACCACAATGGCTGGAGGCAGTGGAGCCTTTTACAAAGCTCCATGCTGATGCTACTAGACGTTTTAGTGTTGATCACACACCCATTTAGTCCTAAAAACACATTGCAACATGGTGGATTAGTAAGAGTGCTTATCCATGTGAGTGGTATCTTCATACATCTGTTTATGAGTGTGTCTGCTGGCATTTAATGCCTCTTTGGGCCTCTTTTTTTTTTTTTTTTACCCTCTCCTTCTCCTAGACAGTTACTCATGCACTTAATTTATGGCACACCTGCAGTGTGTGTGTGTGCATATGCATGTGTGTGTACATGTCTGTGGAGCCGACTGTGTGGTAACGCTCCGACTCGCCACGGAGCTGTTGCTGAAGGAATGCTGCCCCTCTGACTCACCTGATGATTTGTCTCTTACCTTGTGATCAGCGCAGCGAGCAAATCCCACACAATAGGAAGCCAGTGAGCAACAGCAGTGATTTTTAGAGCTCCACGGCAAAGAATGCAAGTAGCTCCCACAATAATGCTATGAATCGAAAGGCAACAAAGGTAACATAAGTCTCTCAATTTTCAGTCAAAATAATGAATGACAAGTTACTATATTTGAGATACAGAGATAGCTGGCTATAAAGTAAGAACATTCCCAGACAACACACTCATGCTTACCTCAGTCTAGTCCATCACTAGTCTTAGTCTTAACTCCTGGATATGCACTAGGACCACATAATCACATAATCAATGACTAAAGAGTTCAGTCCGCTGCCCTTTCTGAAGACAGACACTGACAGACAGGCAATGGGAAAAAGCCGAGTGGGTGGTATTTAAAGTTCACATGTGTAAAAGCTTTCAGCGTAAAGCCTTGGATGGATGGACACACTCATTTGCATTTCTGCTTCTTTATGTCCCACACACATACATACTGTACATGCACACACACAAACCCGGTATCTCTCTCCCTCTCTCTCTCTCATACTCCCTCTATCTTACCCAACTGTCAGATGTGTAAATACGGGCCATGCTTCCAGTAAAGCCTTTAGGCTAGCTAGACTACAAGCTAATTATGTGCAGGATTATTTAGAGAATGCAGTTGTTAGAACGGTCGCTCCTGCTCAGCTGAAGTAAAGAAGACAGCTCTCCAGATGGACAACATGTTCTATTGTGTATATCGTTCAACTGTACAAAAATTGGTCTCATAATGAGTGTTCAGCAGAAGTCGTCGTGTGTGAAACTGGCATCTTAACATTTAAAAAATAATTTTAAGTGATGTGATGGATCATATTTTTTAAACTAATCATTTAAGACATTTTTAAGGATACAAACAACAAACATCATTAGCAGTTTTGATAAACAAGTTTTTGGTCATGCGTGTCTAATTATCCTCATTGCGATCCACCACATTCCTGCATTTTTTTTGTAACCTGCCATTATCCTAGATCTATCCTAGAAAGCACCGGGGATGGCATTAAATCCCAAAAAACTATTTTCTTTTATTTCTACATACCTTGATATTATTGTAAAACTAAGCAACTTTCTTTGAATTGGAACTCAGATTTAACGTGAACCTTTTAATCTAACAAAACGAAAACTTTGTTAGATTAAAAAAATGGCTGGTAATATTCATCTGAACATGTCGACTGCTGTGGCATTGCATCATCTATTTTCCTCTAAATAAGATCAGAATTAATCAGAAAATAAACTCTTCAGGAAATATAAACTTCTTCACTGAAGGCTACAAACGGCTATGACCGTTTCTCATACACAGCCTATTTTTTTTTTCATGAGTTAAAATGAAAAACTCACGATGGGATTCCTTGTGACTTTCACTGCTCTGCCGTAAAGCCCAGGATTGTTCGATTTCTGCTGTGATGACTGTCCTTCAGCAAGGTTATCCCATCTCCTCTCATAATCTCTAGAGCGACGGCAGGCATTTTCTTTGACCTCATCAGGCTTAGTGTTTGCTCTGATAATGCATTATCAGCTCTTACAGACGTGTGTGTGTGTGTGTGACTTTCTCCCATTCAGATATAAAAAATCTAATAATTATGTCAATGTGACATTATTCTCTCTTTGACTCAGATCAGAAACATTCCAGTCAAAAAAGCTGAGAGGAAAGTTAGGTGAAAGAAGTATTCTGAACTAAAAAAGTAAATGTATGAATGGAGTGTGTATTTACACACAGGAACCCACACAAACCATTAAACACCAGTTTAAGGTTACAATTTTGTTGTGAAATCATCAGAGGAGTGAAAGTTTAGGAGAAAAATCTACAGTATGCAGCTGTTTGTCTGTGTTTGCTGTCATGTCTGCTTGCCGTCTGCAGAAATTAAACCATATGTTTGTGATAAGTAACAACACATGGCAGGAGTGTGGGATCCTGGGAAAACAGGAGAGAGATGAGGCCCATACATCCTGGGCCGGGAAGGAAATGAGGAAAAAAAAAAGGTAGAGAAGGATGACAAAACAGATCCCGACTTTATTAGCAGGACTCTGTGTCCGTTTGAGCTCAAGTTGTTGTTTATTAAAGTAATAAATGTTGATTTTCCCCAGTTTTTACGATGTTTTTTTTTTTACCTATGCTGTCTCACCAGGTGACAAAAACATTAGACGACCTGGATGAGATCAGTGTTGAAAAAAATGCCCATCGGGGAGTGACAGTCAACAGTCGCTGCAGAGCCCCCGCAGCCATGTGACAGTGATTTCGTCTAGTTGAAATAACAGCTGTTTGTGATTCCATGGGAAATTAGAAGCAAGATTCCTCTTGAGATGACAGCCGCTCACTACTCCATTTATCTCTGCCGTCTTCATATCTCTGATTATCTTATGGAAACAAACCATCTTCTTATTCCTACCGCTTTGGCGATGAGTGACGCTGTCACATGACTTCACCTCTCAGACTCTCAGATCAAAACGCGAGCCGTTGAATGCGTTTATCTTCGCCACTCTTTACTCTCTGACTCTTTCTTTTTATCCTGTCCTTTGCTGTCATTCATTATCACCTGTTGTCGGGTGTGTGTGTGTGTGTGTGTTTGCTTACGTGCACATGAAGCCATCCTCCTGTCTGCTCCGGTGCTGTGCTGAAATGATTAGTGGGGACGTTTTTATGATGCCTGCCTGACTCTGCTCTGTGGGCACGTGAATACATGCACAGGACCAGGGCCCAGCTTTTCTTCATCCCCAGCCTTTCCCTGCAGCAATCCCTGCCCCATCCCATAAAAATGATGCAGTGAGGCCGACTTAAAGAGGAGATCTGTAAAAGTAGCACGATTATGCCTCTTGTAAATTATTTTAAATTACTAAATATGTTTAATCCAAGTGTGTTGGTTTTGTCATTTTGAGCCACTCCGTAGTTCATTTGCTGTATTGTACTTCTAAAAATCATTACTAATTAATTTGTTGTTTATTATTGTACAATTTGTAACCAAATGTTGATGTGATGAAATATCACCGTAACATGTCAATATGACATCATCATGAGTTTGAGTTAATCCGTGAGGGATATGTTCCCAGTGAATAACACAAAAATAAAAATAACTTCCTATTGGCGCCTGGATTTCATTTTTTTATTTATTATTTATTTGTTATTTATTGGTTATTTATTTTCAAGCAAAATGACCACTGCATTTCTAACATTCTAACTAAACCTTATTTAGCCTTGGACAACATCTCAATGATGCAAAAGACTCACAGCTCTCATAGCAGCTGACAAATACATTTCATTATAGAGTTGAATACATTTAAATGGAGGTACCAAAGTGCATAAGTAACATTTACGGGAACTGGGAAAGTTAAGCAGTGTCTTTGAAGCGTGACCCGTATCACGGCTACAAACGCTAAACTCTGTGGAATGAAATGCACTGAGAACGTTTTTCCTTCTTACCATGAACCACCTGGGTTTGATGTGCATCTTTATTGTCCTCGTAGAAGAATTAATTGGTTATTTTAAAAAGATTATATTGGCCAACTGAGGAGTTTTACAAACTAAAAGGCATATTGACAGCATATGTGGCTCATAGTGAAAGAGGAGCAACACAAGGCGAGACGGAAACACAGCCTGAAATACTTTGGGCTCGAACACCTGAGCTGGAGGGAGGATTCTACAAAACTGATCTGTGTGTCTGCCGGCAATTTGTTCACCCTGAAAAAAGGGCCGTTAAATAAACAGTTGAGTCAGCATATGTGGGATTTTAATTGCGTGGATCGCAGCAAATGCCTTACTACTTGCTGAAATGTAAATAAAATGTCACATCAAGTGACATTTTTCCCAAAGATAAAGTCACTGCGAGAAAATAACGTCTCCACTGGCCACTCGGTGAACTGTGAGCAGTTGGCGCTCAAAGCTAAAGGCTACGTTGTCAAGTTACAACCACAAAAATAACTTCTCGCACCAGACTGCACATTGGCCACCAGTACTCCCACAAATACGCACTCATTCATCAAATCAATGTATTCCCCTCCCATTCACCGAGATCTCCTCCAGCAGAGAACAGCACAGCCCAGCGCAGCAGCGTGCTAGACATGTCTGTTGGAGACTTCACAATGGTTCAGCAAGCAAACATACTTCCCTTAAGGCCCTTGGGACAAACACAGCATCAAGCAGAGGGACTGCAGAACTGGATGCTGCTGATTTTTTATATATTATTTTATTTTCTTACTCTCCTCTTTCTGTGTGTATTTCAGTGCTTGTGTGAATATATCTCAGTATACTGTGTGTTACTGCATAGTTTTATCTACTGCATTTCCTTATCAACAGATCAAACTGCAAAGTGCATGCACTTGCATGATTGCTCATTAGCGTTAATAAAAGTAATAAATAAACACATCATATAAACACACACACACACACATATATATATATATAAGCAATTTCCATTCTTAGATGTGAGCACCCAGTGCATGTGTCTTATGTAATACACTACAGAACAAAGCAAGAGCTCCTTGTTTTGGAGGAAAGGCATCACCACAGGGTTGGCTGAATGACAAGATTTTATCCCGAGGCAGTGATGCATATATTAATATATTTGCAGTACACAATGAAACACATACAACGGAACAATATTATATATTTTTTATTATTATTTTAATTTTCCTATTTTGCAGCATTTGCTGAACTGCTTTGACTTAAACCATCAACTCCTGTGGGCATCAATTATCTTTTCTCGTTGATAACTAATCATTAATTATGTAATACGCTGCAGCAGAGAGGAAGTCAGGCAGACCTAACTTAGGGCACAATAATAGTCATTTATCAATCAAATCCAAGTTTAATACTTTTTCATAATTAATGCCACGAAATCAAAGTTACTTTACTAGAACATCAGTTTTTCTTTTTTTCTTTTCTTTTTTTTTTTTTTTTTAGGCAAAAGCAACAGTGTTTTAGATCCTGACAGTGACAGTCCTCAAAGTGCAGCAGACACACAGTCATCCATGGGTTGGCATGATTCAAACAGCAGTAAGGTGGGGAGACAGGGGGGTGTCCACCCGGGCTGGCAGTTCACACCGAGGCTGTCAGTGGAAGCAGAGAGGCTAGACATCCTTAACGTTCCACGGAATGGCACCTTCCAGAGCAGCCGCCCTGTCTAACTGTTCCCTGGGCCCCAGATAAGAAGCTCATCCGTCATCTACTGGAGCATTAAATTTTAACTCTGGTTACCAAGTGTGGCCATTCAAACTTTTATCTCAAACCTTCTTTATCTTCTTTTCATTAAGTTCTCATGCACTAATAGCCCTGCGAGTCTCCGCCGGGGTAAGGATGATGTTCTGAATAATGAAAGCTCATTATTTCTCCACAGAATGCTTGTTAATTCAAATGATGATATTAAAACTATAGTAGCCCTCAGCAGTCGAGTGATTTCTAGCATACTTTATCATGTATCAATATATACTCTGTTTGTCAAAACTGCCCCGAGCCTGGGCTGACATTCTCCTCCCGTGGAGTGGAGTTCTTCAGCGGGGTCTGCAATACTCCAAGGTGACAACTGGCAGAGTTTGTGCCTGTAGGAGATCGGGGATGGGGGGACAGGGTGGGGGTGGGGGGATTAAGGCAGTGATGGGGAGAGGGATGAGACTGAGAGAGCTGTCATTTTGCTCTTATGTCTATTCAACATTTTTCCATCACGCACACAAGACAGATCCCACCCCCAGACTCACCCGCCCCACACATACTGCACACACAACCTCGTCTCTCTCTCTCGCATGGTTTTTGTACGTGTGTCTATACTGTATATACTGTACACACATGCACCAAACAACAATTGTCATTAACCTTTTCCCTTTGCTTTAAGGCACTGCTGGCACCCGAGGCCGTTAGCCTCTCTATTTAAGAATTAATTTAGATATCATTATTTGTTCATTCGTCATAATTAAACCATCCCAGTAAACATTACACAAACTGTTATCTACAGATGTAACACTGGATCGTACGATTCTCTCCTCATTATTTGCAATGTTTACAGAAGAATGTAAATGCACTGCAATGATGAGGTACAGCTGGTAAAAATAGATGCACAAGTGTTTACACCTAATGAAGAATTAATGAATTAATGTCAAGTTTATCATTTCAACTGAACCTGCTGTCGCCCGTGCTTCCAGGTGACCTAGAATTGTCCAGCTTCACAGCTAAAGCACGCTGCTCTCATATTCCCATACCTGAAGTGCAACATTTTCAAAACATGCCTGTAGCTCTTCGCTTGAAATGCATATCTGGGGGTTAGGTGTGATGTCAGTTATCTTTTTAACAAATTGTAAGGGCGTATTTAGTCTGAAAAAATTAAACCAGAGAAGAGAGACTTTGAAACGACCCGTGTTCCATAGGTGATGCACTTTGGATGTGGCATGTTAACATAGCAGCTAACGCATGCCAGGTATGAGTGTTTGTGTGTGTTTCAGATAAACGCCCTGTATATGCATGCATTTGCAATGTTATATGTGTGCTTGTTCCTTTGGGCTTGATGAGTGGGACAGTTAATAATTAAGTAACTGAATTCTCACACAACAGAGGACACTACAACAACAAGCCGCACAGGTCTGACTGGTTAGTTCACCCCTCTGCAGCTTGTAATACGCCCCCAGGCCAACCCATCATGACTATCTGTAAGCGTCAGCTGCAGGCGTCAGGTTTCAAAAGGGAGAGCCTCAGGCACCATGTCACTAAGACACAGGCCCCGGAGGCCTGCAGTGTTATACACATCTGCACAACACACACTCCAATTTATTTTTTAAATGTGTCTTTGTAGATAAACAGGACCTCAAACTGACCGACATCTTGAAAATAAATTATTCGGTTAGAGCAGGAGTGGAGGTCAGAATTTCAGTTAATTCTGGCGTTTAAAGGATGGATGAAATGGGAATAGATGGCGGGAAGGGGGTAAGTGTGAGGGTGTTGGTGCAACAGTCGAAGGGTTAGGGGTTGGAGGTTGAAACTCAGGTCTAACCTCATGTTTGCAGGTTGCAACTGCTCCTACTGGTCATGTATTGTGTGACAGAGATGTGAAGCACTGGACATACTGGTCAAAACTGAACTCCCAGGTTACTTAATGTCATTGTTTTCAGTGCTTCAAAAAAAAAATTTAATTTTAAAAATTTTATAGAGATGAAAGCAAAACCAGTATTTTTAGTTTATTTATTTGTGTAAAGTGTATGTCAGTCTCATGTGTGTTTTTTTGTACATATACTAAATATTCAGCCAATGGCCTGCAGCCAAATACTTACAGAGTTGGCAAGATCCAGAGTTTTGACACTTTGACCAAATTAGTCTGTTGTGCTTGAGTAGGTACAAAACCTAGTCAGTTTTCTTTTTTCGTTTTAATCCAGTGTTTATTACATTTTCTTCTTTAATACATCTTTTAAAACAATGTTTATGACAGTTGTTCCCTGTTTCCTAACTTCTTGAATATATATAATATACCAAAATAAGTTGGGTTTTTTTTCTCTTCTTTAGTGTTTCAAATGTTTAGAAACCTTCAGTGAACTAACAATTCTGATTTAGTGGCTTCAAATAAAAATGATGAAGCTGCCCATTGCGTGTCTTGAAATTCTCAAGGAAAGTCTCGTCTGAAAGTGTTAGCTAGACTGATATGAGGCAACAACTACAATACAAAAAATATTTTATTATAGTCCTTTAAGTTGTTGTGTTTTTCTAATTTTGTTTTTTTGTTTTTTTGTTTTTTTACATTGAGCTCCAATAGGGTCACAGGATTTAAATTTCCATTTCAGTGGTTCTGGGAGTACAAACAGAAACTGACTTGACTTGACATCGTGCCAGAGC